CATTGTATATATGTACCACATCTTATTTATCCCTCATCTGTTGATGGACATTTAGGTTTTTTTTTCCATGTCTTGGCTATTGTAAATAGCGCTGCAATGAACTCTGGGGTGCATATATATATTTGAAGTATGGATTTCTATATATATATGCCCAGGAATGGGGTTTCTGGATCATATGGTAGCTCTATCTTTAGTTTTTTAAGGAACCTCCAAACTCAAAATGGATTAAAGACCTAATTATATGACCAAATGCTATAAAATTCTGGAAAACATAGTCAGAACACTCTTTGACATAAATCAGAGCAGTATCTCCTAGGGTCCATCTCCTAGAATAATGAAAGTTTTGTTTTATTTGTGTTACTTGAAGCTTATTTCCAATTAAGAAATATAAAATGATTATTGTTTGCACATAGGTTTCTTATTTGCTTCTTTAGATTATTTATCTCAGATGTTTATTCTGAATATAACCATATGGTTTATATATGTTAAATTTAAAAGTGATACTCTTTTTCTTCATGCAACTGCTCAAATTTTAATCAGCTTTTCTATTTCTGCACTTGGACAAGGGATTTAAGATTTGTCATACTACAAGTCACATTTTACTTCAATATGCATGTTTTTGAAATGGCAAAATCCCTCAGGGCTATGTGATTTTCACTAGTGTGTGTATTTTAAGTTCATAGCCAAACACAGCTGAATAAATTGTGGGACACATTTTTCTCTCCATGTCTGAAAAATGCAAATTGTTATAGGTCAGTTGCTGAGAGGTCTTGTCATATCTCAGATGTCTTGTTTACAATTTGTTTTTCATTTTTTCCGAGCATAGCCAATTCATGTTACATTTACTTGTTATTCAGATTTCTTTCAGTTGTCTACAAAGTTCACTTTAACATGTGGAAAAACTATTCTCCCTCAACCACGCCTTCCTAAATGCACTGACTAAAGTTTATAAATACGCATGTGTCTTAGTATGCAAAGCCTGCTGGGCCCTAGATTTCCAGGGTCAAGAGGGGGAAATCCTGCCGCCCCCCACCACCTTGACCACTGTTCTACTCACACCCAAAGCAATATTAACAAATCAGAGAGACTGTAGCTAAGTGAAGAAATGGGCTTGCCTTGTGATTTTAGGATCACACATACCAATGCACGCCGTGGAAAAGGGTCTTTTCAAATGTAGGCCAGGAGCCCAAGCTTGGGGTCACACATATCTGGAGTTTCATTCTAGTCTGTCACACACTAGTTGTGTAACTTGGGTGTGCATTGTAACTTCTATGAGTTCCATTTCCCTCCACTGATAAAATGAGCAAAGTAGCCCCGGGATTGTTATAAGGAACAGAAGGAAGGAAGGCACTTGTCAAGTCACCAGTGATGTAAGATAAACCAACTGGCTCACTGTTTAAAAAAAAAAAAGCCTTCATTTGCCTTGATTTGTAGTGTGGTGTAAATACTCCCACCATGGCTGATTTTAAATCATGAATGACTTAATGACCACCTGGTAAAATTCCTGAATATTTAACAAGAAACCAAGCACAGCACAGCACCACTAGCCTTTAACAAATGGTAGCAATTCTTTCTTTTTATTTATTTGTTTTTAATTGGAGGATAATTGTTAATAATTATATTTTGTCTTCCATTGATCTAGAAAAAAATTTGGCTGTTTGGTAAGATTCTATATAGATGGAGAAATGAAAGCTAAGGGAAGAATAGTAATTTATACAGTTTAAATATTAATGATTTCAAATAATAAAAAGCTACCTTAACAGTTTTGAAATGGGCAAAAACTTAGAAGAAAACAGAATGTTAATAATAAGAAAATGTGTTAATCAAATATTTTAAATTTAAGAATAAGGATCACTTTGTAAGAGGTTCTAGATTGATTTTTACTGTGAGCTTTTCAAGATTGGTTAGAAGAGGTTCTACTATTTTGGTCTTACATTCTTTAATATACAGGAATAAATCCTAAGTATAAAGTTGTGTATACCTATACCTAAACAAATAGAAACTGACAGCCTATATTTTAAAACCCAGTGTTTTTGCAAAAAAAGCTTTGTTTTCATTTTAACTAATAACGGTTTTAGGTCATTCAAAACAGATTTTATTTTTTTAATTGAAGTGTAGTTGATTTACAATGTTGTGTTAATTTTGGGTTTTCAGCAAAATGATTTAGTTATGTACATGTTATATACATTATATATAGTTATTATATATACGTATATATGTGGACTTCCCAGGTGGTGCTGGGGTAAAGAATCTGGCTACCAATGCAGGAGACACAAGAGACCTGGGTTTGATCCCTGGGTCAGGAAGATCCCCTGGAATAGGGAATGGCAACCCACTCCAGTATTCTTGCTGGGAAATCCCATGAATAGAGGAGCCTGGTGGGCTAGAGTGCACAGGGTCACAAAGATTCGGACATGACTGAGTGACTGAACACATACTGCAGTATGTATATGTATAAACTGAACATATGTATATATAAACTGAATACATAGTCAGTTATATATATATATAAACAGTCATATAGTCAGTTATAGATATAAACAGTTTTATATATGTTCATACACACTATATATATGTATATATATATATATGCTTTTTCAGATACTTTCCCCTTGTTGGTTATTATAAAATATTGAGTATAGTGCCCTGTGGTATGCAATAGGTCCTTATTGGTTGTCTATTTTATATATACTAGTATGTATATTTTGGGCTTTCCTGGTGGCTCAGGCAGTGAAGAATTTGCCTGTATATGTTAATCCCAAACTCCTGGATAGATCAAAAATTAAAATCTAATTTTAATTGATTAAAATTATTAAATAATTTTAAATGATTAAAATCTAAATATTTTAAAAGTTTCCTACAATCATATATTTTTTGAAATAGTAACCATGGATTTGGGTTTTGTATTTTGTTTTTTTAATAATAGTAAATATTTGCATGCATGGTCTGGGATGCTGGACAGGGAGTGGCATATTGAACCTGAATCTGTTCCAGAACATCTAGACACCTGGAGCCTACAAATAACTACCACGTCACAGTAAACATCTCAGTGTACAGAATACTAAACTATGGCTGATTCAGGAGGAAATAATCAGAATTAAAGATGATTGATTCAAACGGCCTGTGCTGAACGCTGCACTTTCCATGCGCACTGGCTGTGCCTGAGGAGACAGTGCTGGGACAGCTCACCCGGGAAAGAGTGTGTGGGAAACCAAAGGGCATTTTGGTGACTATAGGCTGACTTCATTCAGTAAAACTCTTGTCTGTTTCAACAAGAAATGGAGCACCACACTCGAGTGTGGGGGCACCAAAAGAAGATGAGAGTACATTTTATTCTCTCTCACAAAGTGACATAAATCATCAGCACTGAAATTATCAACATGGTATTGCCTAGAATAGCAGGTCTGCACACCCAGGGCTCAGGGAAAGAACTGGGGGACTGGGTACATTACAACCTCAAAAGTATAGCCCTGCCACAGTGAGAGATCCTCATTGCAGCAAATGCAAATACCTGTTTCTCTGGGGAGGCACATGTCTCTTCCTAAATGCATGTTAATATACACATTTACTGCTCCTAGAAATGTACTGGATGTGCTTGAAAAATACATTCCAGGGACTAATTAAGTGACATGTTGGAGTTTGATCAGATTTGAGGAAAGAGAGAAAGACTTCACCTTCTTTCTCTTGCTTGTGGAAATTAAATGATTTCTCAGGGTGTGAATTGCCTTTATGCTGATTCCAAATCTAGTAAAGGGGCAAACATAACATGGTTAAGTGATAAACTTCTTTTTTCAGGCTCTTATTAAATATTTAAGTAAAGAGAAAAGGAGGAAACTTTTTTTTTCATTGACACAAAATGTGATTACTTGCTGTCTTTGTGGAAAGATCGATGATCAGCCTAATGGATGAGGCCAGCTAGTGTGTTTATAGTTAGGATGCAAAAAGAAAAGCAAGAAACATCAATGGGTAGCTCTTTTATCTGTCCATTTCTTGAAACTTTCTCATAAAACTAATTAATTAAAAGATTTGTCATATTCCAAGCTAATGTTGGAAGTTATTGTTGTTTAGTTGCTAGGTCATGTCTGATTCTGCGACCTCATAGATTGTAGCCTGCCAGACTTCTCTGTCCTTGGAATTTTCCAGGCCAGAATACTGGAGTGGGTTGCCAGGCTTCCTCTTCCAGAGGATCTTCTTGACCCAGGGATCAAACCCACACCTCTTATGTCTCCTGCATTGGAGAATTCTTTACCACTGAGCCACCAGGGATGCCTTTTGAAGCTTTACCCAGCCAATATATTTCAGGGATTGTAGGGGCGGAATTTCCACAGACTTCAGTGATGCTGCTTTTATTAACTTCACTTTTACCCCTGTATCAGATTTTTCTTTTTCATTCTGTACGTAAAAACCAAAACTGAGGACAGTATTTAGAAAGCAAATATATATTTAGGATGCTTGTGCAAGTTATTTTTTTAAATGTCTTTTTCTTCTGAGCTTATACTTAGGTTGTGAGCTGAAGAATTGGAAACATGAAAAATCCTAGTTTATTAAAATCCTGGATTTGGGGCTTTTCTTTTAGATGAAACTCTGCCTAACTTGAAAGTATTAATATTGAGTTAGAAATATAGGCTTTGAGACATAATAATCATGATACCAATCATTTAAACACGTGTATTGTTACATGGCATCACATTTTACCACTGATCCTCAGAAAAACTCTGCAAGTCAGCGTTTTAATTATCTTGTCCTGTAAGTGGGAATCTAAGACTTAGAAAGTTGAGGTAATTCATCCAAGTTGACGTTGCTGTTAAGAGATGGATTGGAGATTTCAAGAAGGGCCAACTGATGTAGAATCCACGTTCTCAACCACCAAGTTATCTATTATTTTCGTATCTCACAATTTCAAACTGCTGTGTCTGGAGGTGAACAGATTGGCCTGTTTTTGTGTGGCTGGTGGCCTGGGATCCTGGAGTAATCGACCCCTCTGTCTTTTCTGCCCGCAGGCCCCTGGGGAAGGTGTACAGGCAACTGTGGGCCCGGCGGAAGCCAGAGCCGCGGCCTGTGGTGCTTCCACTCTGAGGGGTGGACGGGCCACCTGTCTGACTGTGATGAGCACAGCAGGCCTCCGAAGGAAAGAAGCTGCTTCCGCGTCTGTGACTGGCACAGAGGCCTCTTCCAGTGGGAGGCTTCCGACTGGCACCGCTGTGTACTGGCTCCTCCGGCCCCGGGCCCCGCCAGGCCCCGGGCCGCAGAGTGTGTGACCGCCCAGCACGGCTTGCAGCATCGGGCCGTGCGCTGTGTTCAGAAGCTGAACAGAACCACGGTTGTGAATGAGATATGTGAACACTTTGCCCCTCAGCCCCCCACGGAGCAAGCGTGCCTCGTCCCTTGCCCGCGGGATTGTGTGGTGTCTGAGTTCTCGCCGTGGTCTGCGTGTAGCAACGGGTGTGGGAAGCAGTTACAGCACAGAACTCGCTCGGCTATCGCCCCGCCTCTCTATGGAGGGTCACAGTGTCCTAACTTGACTGAGTCAAGAGCCTGTGATGCTCCCATTTCTTGTCCTCTTGGCGCAGAGGAATATACGTTTAGCCTTAAAGTTGGACCATGGAGTAAATGTAGACTGCCTCATCTCAAAGAACTCAACCTAAGTGGAAGAACCATTCTGGATTTTAGCTCTGAGTCCAAGGAGTTGGTCACTTTCAGACATCACACTTACAAGGCGCATCACCATTCCAAGTCCTGGGACATAGAGATAGGTTATCAAACCCGCCAGGTTTGGTGCACAAGGAGTGACGGAAGAAGTGCTGTGTTAAGGTAGGAGGGCTTCAGTGTTTATGTCATGATTCACCTAAATACTTTACAGTGTAATTTTATAAAAAGTTTCTTCATGATTTCCTACAATGGGAAAATTGTAATCAGGTTTGGGATTTGAGTTTTTAAAAGTTTCTCTAGAAAAGCTTTCAGTGTCAAGTATAAACATTTTTGAGTCTAGACCACAAGTGCACTGAACTCCAGAGTAATTAATAGTGAGATTATATAGGATAAGTCATCTGGTTTCACATTTTATCAATGTATCAGTCAGCTAAAAAAATAGATCTTGTGCCCAAAGTGCCCATCAAGAGATGAATGGATAAAGAAGCTGTGACAAGTAGAGTACAGCTCAGCCATAAAAAGGAATGAAATTCTGGCATTTGTAGCAACATGGATGGTCTCAGAGGGCAATGTGCTAAGTGAGATAAGTCAGAGAAAGACAAATATGGTATGATATCATTTATATGTGGAACCTAAAAAATACAAAAAACAAGGGAATAAAACAAAAAAGAAGCAGACTCATATTTGGAAGACAAACTAGTGAGGTTACCAGTGGGGAAAGGGAAAAGGCTAGGGTAATATAGTATTAGGGGAAAAAAGGGTTATTATGGGATTTCATGAAATCATATGTGTAAAATTTTGAAAATTGTAAAGCACTATTGAATTTAAAGAATCTTTCCTTCCATAAAAAAATTGGGTTTTTTTGTTATTACAGTAATAAAAGTACTAAGTGATTTATTATAATGACAAAATTTAAATAATTCTCAAACTTAGGATATAAGCTGTATAAATATTTTTCATTTAAACATTTTTTTTTTACTTTGTTTTGAGGATTAAGCAGATTCTATTTCTGGGTTGTAGATATTTTATAGTAATAATAATACCAATAAGTTAATCCAAGAATGTTTTCTTTGGCATTGATTTGATAAAAACATTATCTTGCACAGCAATAATTAGAAAGACATATTTTAGAGGGAATGGACTAAAACTTTTAAAAGCAATAGTTTAGGCTTCAAACTTATTTGTAATTGTTTTACTTTACACTGTATTATAGTGTCATGACATAAACCATAAAAGTATATTAAAAGTAGTATCTGTTTACTTTTTCCTCAAAAGTTCTTAAGTGTAATCACTGGTATATTGCTAAATTTCTTCCAAATTAAGATGACTTTCAATAGTTGGAATTATCAAACAATGAAACACTCATGGATGGAATTAATCATTATCATCAGTTGCTGTTTTCTTAGGATCCACAGCTGGCTCAAAGGACTATCTCTGCTATTTCAGAACAAAGTAATGCGATGATTTATTCCCCCCCATTCTGCTTTACAAATGAGAATATTTTGTCTTTGATGCTTCATTCTGGTTTATGCCATATAACTTGGCAAGTCCATTGAAGAGTGATTTTCTGCCTTTTATTGCCTGCCTCTGTGAAACAAAAGATTAAACAGATGATTGGGGTGATTATTGTCTCAGTATGTATGTGGGATCTGTACAAACATTGTTAATATTCTCTTTTGAAATATTACATAGAATGTTTTCAGCCTATAGTTGACTTTTTTTTTAACTAAAAAAATGTTGGCTTTTTTCCGTTTTTAAATTCTGTTTAAATTAATAGACTTTATTTTTTAGAATGATTTTGGGTTTACAGAAAAATTGAACAGCAAATCTAGAGCTCCCATGTATCTCCTCATCACTCCCTCTCTACACATATACCGTTTCATACATACATTAGTGTAGGTTGTTTAGTACATTTGATACAATGGATGAACCGATACTGATACATTACTGAAACTCATAGTTTACATTAGAGTTTACTCTTTGTGCTGTACATTATGTGAGCTTGGACAAATGTATAATGACATGTATCCAGCGATACTATATAATACGCAATAGTTTCACTACTCTAAGAATCTTCTTTACTGTCTCTACTAATTCTACCTTTCCTCTCCCCAAACCCTTGGCAACCAGCAATTATTTTACTATCACCTCCAAGTTTCAGCAATTATAAATAAAGTTTCTGTAAACATTCAGGTGCCAATTTTTATGTGAATGTCATTTTCAGCTGATTTGCCTAAATACCAATGGGCACTGTTCTTGCTATGATGATGAATTTATGTTTAGTTTTGTAAGAAATTGCCAAACTCTCTTCAAAAGTGACTGTGTCATGAAAGCACCTTTTGCTTCACACCCTAGCCAACATTTGATATTAGTGTTTTAGATTTTAGCTATTTTAATAAGTGTGTAGTAGTATCTTGTTGTCTTAATTTGCAGTCACTTCATATCATATGATGTTTAGCATCTTTTCACATGCTTATTTTCCATCTGTTTTTCTCCTTTGGTGAGGTGTCTATTCAGATTTCTTGTCTTTTATTTTTCTTATTGTTTTGAGTTTAGAGTTCTTTGTATATTTTGGATACCAGTCCTTATCAGCTACATGTTTTGAAAGTAGTTTCTTATAGTTTTTGGTCTGTCTTTTCATTCTCTTAACAGTGGCTTTCACAGAGAAGTCATGTTTTATCTTAGTGAATTCCAACTTATCAATATTTCTTCCATGGGTTGTTCTTTAGCATTATGTCTGAGAAAAGATTACCAAACCGAAGGTCAACTAGATTTTCTTCTATGTTATTTTCTAGGAGTTTTACAGTTCTGCATTTTACATTTAGGTCTATGGTCCATTTTGAGTCAAGTTTTATGAGAGTCTTGTGTTCTGTATCTGGATTTTTCTACATATGGATGTCCAGTTGTTCTAGCACTATTTGTTAAAAAGACTGGCTTTTCTTCACTGAACTGCATTTCCTTCTTTGTTGAAGATTAGTTGACTATATCTGTGTGGATCTGTTTCTGGGCCCTATATCATTATTCCATTCTTGTATTTATCTATTCTTTGCCAGTAGCACACTCTCTTAAATGCTTAATCTTTATAGTAAGTCTTCAAGTTGAATAGTGTCAGTCCTCTGAATTTGTTTATATTTAATTATTGTGTTGACTTTTTGGACTTCTTGCCTTTCCATATAAACTTTAGATTCAGTTTGTCTGTATTTACAAAACAATTTGCTAGGATTTTCATTGGAAATGCTTGTAATGTATAGATCAACATGGGAGGAACTAACATCTTGATAATATTGCATCTAGTCATGTACATGGAATGTTTCTCCATATATTTAAAATTTCTTTGATTTCTTTCATCAGTTTTGTACTTTTTCATATATAGATCTTATATATATATATATATAGTTAAACTGATACTTTAGTATTTTATATATTATTGGTTCTAATATAAATGTATTGTGTTTTTACTTTCAAATTCTAATTATTCATTGCCTTTATATAAGAAAGCAGTTGACTTTTTATATTAACCTTATATCCTGTACCTTGTTATAATTTATTTGTTCCAGGAGGGTTTTTTTATTTTTCCATTTTGGTTACTATTGCTGTTGTTGATCCTTTGGAATTATCTGTGTAGACAAGTATCTAATTTTCAAAAGAGACAGTTTTATATATTTCTTTCCAATATGACACATTTTATTTCATTTTTTTGCTTATTGCATTATCTAGGACCTCCAGTATATTATCAACTAGGAGTAGTGAGAAGGGACATTCTTACCTTACTCCTAATCTTAACAGTACAGCATGTGGTTTCTCACCATTGTGATGCTAACTATAGGGTTTTTGTTGATATTCTTTAGCAAGATGAAAAAGTCTTCTATATTCCAAGTTTGCTGAGAGTTTTTAATCATACATAATTTGTCAAGTACCTTTTGTGCATATACAGGTATGATTATGATTTTTTTTTACTTAGTCTGTTGATAGGATAGATTACATAGATTGATTTTCATATGTCAAACCTATATTGTATACCTGGAATAAATCATACTCGTCTATGATGTATTAGTATTTTTATATGTTGTTGGATATTATTTGCTAATATTTTCTTGGGAATTTTTGCATATATGTTCATGAGCAATATTAGAGAGTATTCTTTTTTTTTTATATAATGTTTTTGTCTAGTTTTGGTAATAGGATGATGCTGGCCTCAAACAATGAATTGAGAAATCAATCCTCTGCTTTAATTTTTAGAAGTAAGTTGTCAAGAATTGATAGTATTTTTTTCCTTCTGGGGTCACAAAGATCCTGTGAATGAGCAACAAACACTTCCTTCAAATTTTTGGTAGAATTCAACCCATATGGGCCTGAAGTTTTCTGCTTTGGTAGGTTATTAATTATTGATTTAGTTTCTTAAATATATATAGATCTATTCAGATTATAGGTTTCTTCCTGTGTGAGTTTTAACATATTGTGTGTTTTAAGGACTTGGCCCATGCACCTAAGTTAAGAAATTTGAGGGTATAAGCTCGTTCATAGTATTCTTTTATTATCCTTCGGTAGCCATGGGGAATTTCAGTGGTAGTCATGACCTCTTGCTTGTTGTTGTTATTAGTGCCTTGTCTTCTCTCTCTTTCACTCACTCACTCTCTCCTCCCTCTCTTCTTCCTTTGTTCTTAGTTAACCCATCTAGAGGTTTATCAATTTTATTGACTTTTTCAAAGAAACAGCTTTTGGTTTCAGTTATGTTCACTATTGATTTTCTGTTTCTCATTATATTGATTTCAACTCTAATTTTCAGTATTTTCATTCTGCTTATTTGAATTTAATTTGATTTTCTAGTATTCTAAGATAGAAGTTTAGGTTATTGATTTTAGATAATTCTTCTTTTCTAATATGTGAATTCAGTGCTGTAAATTTCCCTCTAAGTGCTGCTTTTGCTGCATTCTACAAATTTTAAAAGGCTCTATTTTCATTTTAATTTAGTTCAAAATAATGTTTAATTTCTTTTGAGATGTCTTTGCTCATGTATTATTTAGAGATGTTCTCTTTAATCCTCAAGTATATGAGTGTTCCACAACCATCTTTCTGTTTTGATTTGTAGTTTAAGTGCATTGTGTCATGAGAGCATACTTCGTATGGTTTCTCTTCAATTTGTTAAGGTGTGTTTTATGGCC